TAATCATACCCCCTAATTGGATACTTTTGGAGAGATAGACACCATCTCTTATATTAATTAAACGGTCAAGCAAATGCAAAGCGAAGTCAATGTCCGCTACCCCCTCTTCAAATGGCTTATCCGCTAGCCATAACCAACTCAACTCCTCTCGACAAATAGCACCAAGGGACTCCTTAGAGAAGAAAGCATATGTAAGAAGTCGACTAATATACCTCAAGGCCACATGAATAATTGCCGCCGCTTTTAAATGTTGAGGACTATATGAGTCCTCGATAGAAATATGCCTCCACCACTTGAACTCACAATAACTGTTAACACGTTGCAAAGCATCAAATGCCGGATACACAAGTGGGACATCCTCACTGGGAGTTGGAAACTTGAAAAACTCATTAAAATAGGAAAGAGGCACCGAATGATCATTGTTGAAAACTTGAAAAGAAATTCTTCGAGAAGTTTCACCTTCCAAATCCTCCTCAAGGACCTCAAGTGAAGAGAGGAATTCGAAAGTAATCCGAGAGTAGGTGGGAGCATGAAGGATTAAGAATTCCTCTAACCCCAAGTTTTGAGCCAAAAATATCACATCGTCGTCGATACCCAACGAACGAAGTAGTTGCTGACGAATCATGGAATCTAATAGAAAAAAGTGTCTGAGTTGAAAGCTTGGCAAATCTTTCCCAATGCTCTTCCTTTGTGAACTCAATTCCATAAGTCTCTTTGATGTGGGAAGAAGGAGGAACCACCTCCCTATAGGTAGAGCATCTAGCCCTCTTAGCTCGACGGAGAGGAACCATTCTACACACATAATTGAAAAATGCTCTAGTGAGTAAGGACCATGAGCCACAAGTATGCATCATGAGCAACAACACTCCAAACCATCATAAAAAACAAACTATGCACATTAACATTTCCATATCAATAAAATCAAACTATAAATCCAACAAAGGTGGTGCCAAAATTATAGTATGGTGAAGCAAAATCATCAAACACAAGTTCATACAATTACCAAAATTTCATCATTAACACAACAAATGAAGGAGATAGTGAGCAATATGGATACAATTAATGAGGCTATAACCAAATCAATTTAAACACTCATGAACAACCAAGGTAGAAAATTTATCATAATTATCAATAGAAATGAAGAAATCATACCTTAGATTGATGAGAGTTTACAAAGAAATGGAACACAAAGCACTAACAAACATAATTATGTCAAATTGCAAGCAACAAACCCTAAACCAAAAGGGTACCCAAAAATCCCAACTTTTGGAAAGAGAAAATCACAATGAAAGTGGTAGAGTGGGACTTAAGAGTAATAAGCAACTAGACGAAGTGAAAAATGGTGAAATTTCAGTAGTAAAATAATGAAGGAAAATGGTGATGATGCTTGAACAAAAACCAAGTGAAAATGAAATGAAAAGAAGAGAGAGAAAAAGAGAGAAGGTCGGTGCGTTTAAGGAGCAACAACAAGGGTTGCGCGGCCGCGCCATAGGGCTGCGCGACCGCTCCATAGTCGCGCGCGCCCGCGCCCTTCTGGGTGTACGATCTTCCGAATCCCTTCTCGTGAGCACATCGGTGAGTACAAGGGAAATGATCATGATGAAGGTTGAGGCAAGCAGTTTCTAAACCCCAAGAATGTGGGTTCAACACTAGATTTTCATGAACCCACCATTTGAACCCACCAAACTTCAATTTTTTAAGCATACTTCCAATTCATCAACTTGAGCACTCTCTCTTCAAAATAGGTACCAAAATTTTTGGAAATCAAATCAAAACCACCTAAAAACACAATCAAGAAAAGAAATCAAATGAGAATAGAAACAACAAAAAGAAAACAAAAATCAAGGAAAATAGAGAAAATGGTTAGAAACTCGGGTTTCCTCCCGAAAAGCGCTTGTTTAATGTCATTAGCTTGACGTTCTCCACCCTTCAAGGTGGATCATAGAGAGTCATATCATGAACAACCCCCACAAAACTCCATCATAGTAGCGCTTGAGCCTATGACCATTAACTTTGAAAGTTTTTGAGAAAACCAAAGGAGATATTTCAACCGCACCATTAGGAAAAACCTCTTGAACAACAAAAGAACCACTCCAACGAGACATTAGCTTCCTAGGAAATAATCTCATCCTAGAATTTTAAAGGAGGACCTTGTCACCAACATTGAACTTCTTCTTCTCAATAAGATTATCATGCACTTCCTTAGTACGAGTCTTGTACATGCGTGCACAATCATATGCATCCAATCGAAGTTCTTCCAACTCATGGAGATCAATCCAACGTTGCACACCTGCACTTGCCAAGTCAAAATTAATTTTCTTGATAGCCCAATGAGTATGATGCTCAATTTCGACTGGCAGATGACAAGACTTCCCATAAAACAAGCGGTAAGGAGTAGTGCCAATAGGAGTTTTGAAAGCCGTTCTATATGCCCACAAGGCATCATCTAGCTTATCCGACCAATCCTTCCTATTTCTTGCGACCGTCTTCTCAAGAATCAATTTGATTTGACGGTTAGACACTTCGACTTGCCCACTAGTTTGAGGGTGATAGGGGAGCCCGAAACGTTGATTAACTCCATGCTTCTTCAACATCTTGCGGAAGGCGCTATGCACAAAATGAGATCCATTATCACTAATAACCTCCTTTGGGATGCCAAACCGTGGGAAAATTATCTTCATGAACATCTTCATTGCTACTTTATGGTCTTTTGTAGGTGAAGCAATAGCTTCCACCAATTTTGACACATAATCGACAGCAACAAGGATATATTGATTCCCATAGGAAGTAGGAAAAGGACCCATGACGTCTATTCCCCATACCTAAAAAATTTCCAACTCTAGAATGGGTTGTTAGGGCATTTCGTTTCTCTTTGAAATGTTTCCGGTCCTTTGGCATCGGTCACAACTCTAGACAAACTCCCAAACATTCTTGAAGAGATTCGGCCACCATAATCCACATTGGAGCACCTTCAAAGCCGTATTTGAGACACCCATGTGACCCCCACTCGGATCCGAGTGGCACATCTTCAATACATTAGGCAACTTCTCATTTGGAACACATCTCCTTAATAACCCATCAACACCCCTTCTATACAAAATCGGTTCATCCCAAACATAATGCCTAGCCTCCCTTTTGAGCTTCTTTCTTCGATTCTTGGAAAATGAAGGAGGAAACTCCCCACAAGCAAGATAGTTCACCAAATCGAAAAACCATGGGAGTTCCTTCACATATATAGCTTGCAAAGAATCATCTAACATTCTATCTTCAATGGGAGATCCATCATCTTAAACTTGAAAATCCTCAAGTCTAGATAGATGATCTGCTACTACATTCTCCGCTCCTTTATTATCTCTAATCTCAAGGTCAAAAGTTTGAAGCTTTAACACCCAACGAATTAGTCTTGTCTTTGATTCCTTCTTCCCAAAAAGGTATTTTAGGGCCGCATGAGCGGTGAACACAATTGTTTTGGACCTTAACAAATAACAACGAAATTTTTCAAAGGAATGAACAATAGCCAAGAACTCCTTCTCCGTTGTAGTGTAATTCCGTTGAGCTCCATTTAGAGTCTTGGACATATAATAAATCACATGAAGTTTCTTATCAACTCTTTGACCTAAAACTCCTCCAATAGCCATATCACTTGCATCACACATCAACTCAAATGGCAAATCCCATCTTGGAGCTTGAACAATTAGAGTGGAGATCAGAGCTTTCTTCAACTTATTGAATGCCTCCAAACACTTGTCATCGAATACAAACTCGGCATCCTTTTGAAGAAGATCATTGAGGGGCTTTGCAATGAGTGAAAAATCTTTAATGAACCTTTTATAGAACCCGGCATAGCCCAAAAATGATCTCACACCTTTCACATTAACCGGAGGTGGAAACTTTTAGATAACCTCATTCTTTGCCTTGTCAACCTCTATGCCCTTGTGGTAAATTTTGTGCCCAAGGACTATTCCTTCTTCAACCATAAAATGACATTTTTCCCAATTTAACACCAAGTTCACTTTCTCACATCTTGCCAAATCATTTTCAAGATTTTCGAGGCATGCTTCAAAGTAAACTCCACCTACGGAAAAATCATCCATAAACACCTCTATCTCCTCCAACATATCTCCAAAGATACTCATCATACACCGTTGGAAAGTGGCGAGAGCATTACAAAGGCCGAATGGCATTCTTTTATAGGCAAAGTTACCATAGGTACAAGTAAAAGTAGTTTTCTCTTGGTCATCAGGATGAATAGAAATTTAGAAAAATCCCAAGTAACCATCAAGGAAACAATAGTACTTGTGCCTCGTTAGTCTTTCAAGCATTTGATCAATGAAAGGAAGGGGGAAGTGATCTTTCTTGGTGGATGTGTTTAGATGTCTATAGTCTATACACATCCGCCAACTGGTGGTCGTCCTTGTTGGAATAAGCTCACCTTTTTCATTCTTGACGACGGTCATGCCTCCCTTCTTTGGAGCGACATGAACGGGCGAGACCCATCTAGAGCTTGAGATGGGGAATATGATTCCCGCATCTAAAAGCTTAGTAATCTCTTTCTTCACTACCTCCCCCCTTTAGGGATGTAATTTCCGTTGTCGTTCAATAGAAGGAAGGGCACCCTCCTCAAGGGTTATGTGGTGCATACATAAAGCAGGGCTTATACCTTTGAGGTCATCAATGGTATAACCCAAAGCACCTTGGTGCTTTCTCAAAATACCGCATAACCCTTGAGCTTGGCTTTCACTCAAAGATGCGCTAACAATCACGGGGTAAGTAGAATTTGGGCCTAAGAATTCATACATAAGATGTGATGGTAAAGGTTTGAGCTCTACCATAGGAGCACCTTTACCTTCCTAGGTCAAAGACGCTTGCAAAGCCTCTTGGCTTGAGATTTTCATGCAAATTTGCTCATCACTTCCTTCAACACTCCCATATAACAAGTTCTCATACAAAGCCATGTCCTTTATAGGAGCACTTATCTTTTCCTTGTTCAACAAAACACACTAAAGAGGATCATTAGTTGTGAGCAAGTGCTCATGCATTGAATGTACAAGATTATCTAAAATTTCAACTCTCATGCAATTCTCAAGAGATGAAGAAGGATATTTTATACTTTCATTCAAATCAAATTCAACTCCCTCATCTCCAATTTTAAGTGAAATCTTAGCACTTTTGACATCAATCAAAGCACCCGAAGTAGCAAGAAATGGTCTAACAAGAATAATAGGAATTGTAGAATCCTCATCTATGTCAAGGACCACAAAATATACTGGAATAATGAACTTTCCTACCCTTAAGGGAACATCCTCTACCTTGCCCCTTGGGATCTTAATTGATCTATTGGCTAATTTCAAGGTAATGTTGGTAGGTAAAAGTTCTCCCTTCTCTAGTCTTTGATATACTGAGTATGGCAAAGTGCTCACACTAGCTCCTAAATCACACAAGGCATTATCAATTTGCATTTTATAAATAGTACAAGGGATAGAAAAGTTTCCGGGATCCTTCAACTTGGGTGGGATTTTGTTCATTATGATTGCACTACAATTCTTGGTCAAGTTAACTGTTTCAGCCACATCACATGTTCTTTTTTCACTCAAAATCTCCTTAAGGAACTTTGCATAATTTGGAATTTGTTCTATCACATTGGTAAAAGGAAGAGTAAGATGAAGTTGTCTAAGCATCTCTATAAATTTCCCAAATTGCTCGTCTAACTTGTGCCTATTAAACTTTTGGGGGTAAGGGAGCTTAGGCTTGTAAACTTATCTTTCTCTGTCTTTCACCTTCTCAACTTGTTCTTTATTAACTTCCTCAACTAGAGTATTCTCATCTCCCTCATTCTCAATTTGGCCATTGCTAGGACTATATTTAGCATCACTCTTCTTAGAGATTTCACTCTTAAGGACCCTACCACTTCTAGTCAAAATAGCATTCATAGGGCTCTTAGGATCTAAGCTTGGTGAAGTCAAAGAAGAAAGATTTGTAAATTCCTTAAACTCACTAGCCAATTGAGAAATTTAGGTCTCCAACCCCTTATGGTAAGTTAACATGTCATTGAATTTCTCATTGCTTAGGGTCATGTAGGTGTCTAAGAATTTGGCTTGCTTCTCTATGACACCTTCCAAGAAACTCCTAGAGGAAAATGATTGATCATACAAATTATTACTATGATCTTGGGTATTCGGAATAAATCCAAGTGGGGCAACTCTTTGAACATTCGATTGGAAATTTCCCCTACTTTGATTGTTCCAATTACCTCTACATTGATTTTGGCCACTATCGTGATTATGGTTACCATAACCTTGGTTATAGTCCCCATATCCTTGGCCATGACTTTGACCATTATAACTATGGTTGTTATAGCTACCACAATTCCCTTGGATTCCATGGTTTCTATAACCGCCATTTTGGTTATAATTATCATAGTTCATTTGGTTGTGATAATTCCTACTTCCAACATTCCTTTAAGCATCAAATCTAGGTCCAACATTGTTATTAGCAACTAAGTTCACATGTTCATTCTCACTCCTAAGATATTCATTACAAGGAACATTAGGGCAAATAGAAGCATCATGGTCATTCATTCCAGACAAATCACAAAACCAACATTCTCCAATCATGCAACAAGAAGAAGGAAGAGAGTTGAGAAAGAAGAAGTACCTCTCCTCTTAATTTGGGAGGGAAGAATTGGTGCTTGTGAGGTCGCACTCTCGAGCTTATACTTGATAGAAACTACCTCCTTTCCTAAATCCGAAATCTGAGTCGACAAATTGTTGATAGCATTGAGTTGTTCCATTGAGCATCCCATTGTATTACTCTTGTTTATCAACTCCTTCTCACCATCTTTCCATTCCATGTAGTTTCTAACTACATCCTCAATGGTACCTACAACCTCTTCCTCGGTCTTATTCATGATTGGGTGTCCGACTCCGGCATCAAGACTTGCCCTCCCTTGAGGACTCAAACCGCCATAAAAAATTTGAATGATTAGGTAAGTGGGGATCCCATGGTGAGGACACTCACGTTGATACTCTTTGTATCTCTCCCATGCTTCATAAAGGCTTTCACTAGATTTTTGCTTGAAACCTTGAATCAAAGCTCTTGCCTCCGCCATTTTCTTTTGAGGGAAGAAACGGGAAAGGAATTCCTTGGTGACTTCATCCCAAGTTCTCAAATAATTAGGCTTCACTTTTTTATCTAGCCACTCTTGAGCTCTTCTAATTAGAGAAAAAGGAAATAGCTTAAGCCTTATGAATTCTTGAGCAACCCCGTTTACCTTAATTGTGATGCAATATTTCTCGAATTCCTTAAGATGATTTAGGGGGCTCTCATTCACTCCTCCACTATATTGCCGCATTTCAATCAAAGTTATCATTGTCGGTTTGATTTCAAAGTCACTATTCGGGATCAATAATGGAGCAATCCCGCTCTCATACTTGTATACACCCGGAGTACCCAATTCCTTCAATGAACCCCTCTGGATATCTCCGATGTTAACTTGCACACACAAACTCAAAGAAAAATATTAGTAACGTAACACGGCTACAAATGTAGCCAAATGAGAAAAATATTTTTGTATTTTCGAATTTTAGTGAAAAATAGACTCAACAACAATAGCAAACAACTACGCCATTCTCCGGCAATGGCGACATTTTTGATCTAGGGAGGAGACTAGGTCGTTGAAAACTAATCTACCCTCGGTCAAAACAAAATTTGTAATCTCTCAACACACCCCTATACCAATCATAGAGTAAGTTGAGGGTCGAACCATTAAGAATGGGAGGTGAATGATAATGTCAAAGCTAAGCTATTTCGAAGAAATGAAGTGAGGTGTGTCTATTCTACCAATCAAACAATCGAAATGAAATCAAATTTATCAAGCACTAGGTTATGGTTCCACATAAACTCGTAATTAATTCAACTAATTGGGATTGGAGATGACTAAATCGAGTGTTGCGAGGGAAAAATAATTAAGCAATCAAGAGAGTATGGTAGGCTAATCTCCTAGAGGTCAAATTAGCGCCAACTACGAGAGACTCTAGCTAGGAAACTTGCAAGCCTACTCAATCGACAAATGTAAGCCACAAATCAATTTTCCGTATCAATGTGAACTTACAATGCAATCTAGTGTGAGTAACTAGGTTGATCACTCCTAAATTAAACACACACATGCACATAATCAATCAACCAATTTAATCACAACATCAACTCCATCAATTTCACCCAAATAGCATAAATCCATTACTCATATATGCTTCACCGTTTCCCCAGCATGAAAACTACTCACTATTCATGGAAATAAATATCAAAACTAAACGACAAATTCATCATCATCATATTAATCAAGAATAAACCAATTCAAAAATCAATCAACTTGAACAATTAACAAAGAAATTGAGATCAAAACAAAGATTGCATTAAAGTAAAGAAATCCTTACAAACTTGCTTCAATTCAATGGAGAAAACACTTGGAATCATCAATCTTCAATCATCAATCAAGAACTTCTCTCTCTACAAACTAGAGTTTCTCTCTCTAAAAATCTAACCTAATTTTATTCTAATTTCTGAAAAAATTGAACTCTCCCAAAAAATAGAAAGAAAATCTATATATAGTGAAACTAACTAAGAGAAATTAGTTAGATCGTTCCCAAATAAATCTGTATAGGCGCGGCTAAATATAAGAGAGAGCGCGGCTGCGCAAATCTGGATACGGAACCAAGACCCATACAGGCGCGCCCGCGCCTAAGAGAGGCGCACCCACGCCACCAGGCCGCGCTAGGGCAGCCCTCTTCCCTATTATGCCGATGCTCCTCGTGCGCTCCACTTAATTCTCTTGATAAACACAGGACCTTGCAGTTTCTAAACTCCATATTTGTGGGTTCAACACGAGAAATCATACCCCCACGTCTTGAATTCACAGCTTAAGGACTTTAGGAACTTGCACTTCTCCTGCTTGAGCTTCAAATGGAGAACATTAGACATCCTAATCAATGCCAAACTTGGGAAGAGGCCTCGGTAAACTTGGATAACGACCTTAACCTGAAAAATAAAGGAAAACAAGCAAATAAAAGAGAAAATAACATAATAAACCAAGAAATGCATAAAGGAAAGAAATCCAACTAAGAAAATGCAAACTAAAAGAAAAAAGGAGTAAAATTAAGGAAAAGCTAAGTAAAAGAGCTATAGTATAACATGAAATTCACCCTAAAAAGAACCAAATGAGTGCCACAAATGACACTCATCAAATACTTTGATAAAGAATTCCTAAAAAAATTAGAGCAAAAATAGGCAAGGTCATTAGAGTGGACAAGTCTACTACTTATGCTGAGAGGTGTCAGTTCACGAGATTGAGTGTGGAAATTGACCTTTCAAAACCTCTTCTTTCAAAATTCTGGCTCAAGGGAAAGATATGGAGAATACAATACGAAGGTATTAAAGTGTTATGTTACAAATGTAGCATACTTGGACATGTTGAAGACTAGTGTTCCTCGAAACATCCCTCAGATAATATGGTGATTGATTATGTTAATGGTCAGTTGGATGGGGTGGAGCAGCCTCAAAGAAAAGCTAAAGAAAGGTCGGATGAGGTGGCCGGATGACTATGGGGATTGGATGCTAGTGAAGAAATTGGGTCACAAAAGGAACCTGAGAGCGGAAAAAGTAGGGTTGGGTTGGGTCAAGGAAAGGAAGGGAAAAATCTGGATAAAAATCAAAGTTAAACTCTTCCTAAAAATGCTACCAAATTACCAAATCATATCGAAGGCAGGAAATCAAATTTCGAGGTACTGGCTTCAATGAATACTTGTGAAGATAATGTTTTAGAGGAGGTCGTAGGGAATGATAACCAAGCTTATTTTATAATTTGGGAAGTGATCAAACTAATAAAGATTTGATTTTATCTTCCTCAATCAAAGATACTAATATCCTCATAATTAACTTTGGGGACCAATCACAGCAATTTCGCGAAGTTATCCCCAAGCCTACCTTTAATTTTGGTAAAAAAGATCAAGAAAATCGAGGAGGTAGAAAATTTACCTACAAGAAAAAAGATTCCTCTAAAGGAACTAAGGCAAGTTCTCAAATTAATGTTCCACTGACCCCTATCACGAATAATTTTACTCCAAAAACAACAAGTCAAGCTCCAAAAATCGTTATCCCAGAAGGAAAAGAAAACTCACACATTGTCTTTACATAAGCTACTTCACAAAGAAATACAGAGGACATTCGAGAGGTTGTACAAGTTGCTTCGAATGATGTCACACCCAAGGAACTCACACATATTTCCTCCACCTTCAGATGTAATCCAGCTATTGATCCCGACGGATAAAACTCTCTTCGTGGGATAAACAATGAAGAGGCCATATTTGGCCATTGCCGACCCCCTGACGAATGTATTGGAGGTGAGGATCGAATCATGGGAGGAACTGATCCCAGAACCGATGGAACTGGTAGTTTATCTACGGAT